CTTTTTTCGCCCGCCTGGGCTCAAGCCCCTGTCTCTGTACGACCGCGCCAAGCCGACCATCTTCGTGAATTTCTCCAGCTTCCCCCTCGGCATCTCGGCTTGGTTATCATATCGCTCGGGTTCTCGTGAGCGCAGACCTTGCCGAAACGCAGTCGGCCCTGCTCGCGCCACTGCTGCAGCGCCAGGGCGCGGATCTCCACGTGCTTCATCTTTCCTGGCCCGCGCTTCTTCACGATGTGCAGCGCGCTGCTGCTGTCGCTCATCGCGAGCGGTGCCGTCTTCTCTTCCCACTCCTCGAGCAACGATGCCAGTCCGGGTGCCTCTGCTGCTCCTGAGCCCAGCGCGTAGAGCTCGCTCTCTGCCGAACTCAACGCCATACAGCCCTGGCGCCTCGACCACGACAAGACGGTGCACCCGCGGTGCTTCAGGATGCCCCTGCCATGCCTCCTTTGTTCGGAATCACTTGCATCTTGTAGTCGCCGCGTGCCTGCAAGGTACCGCGCCATCTTCTTCAACCTCCTCGAGTCCTTCTCCGTTGGTCCTGACGTGCCCCGGCTTAGAACTCCAACTCCGCGTTGAATGTCAGGGCGGCGCCTCGCCAACTGCAACGGCGCCCCCGCGCGGGCCCTGTAGCGACTGTGGCTCGCCGTATCCAAATTCACCTCGTCGCCCTTCATGCGCACCTCCTGCTTGGTCTCAGGCAGCACTGATGGCTTCGCCGTTTCCGGGCCCAGCTCCGTCAGGATGTCGTCGATCAGGCTCGTCTTGCCGCTGATCGTGTAGTCGCCCTCCACCTTCTCCACCTGCATGCTCAGGAACGTCGCCTGGTCCCCGTTCTTGGTGAGCTTACCACGCCCGATAACTGCAGTCTCTCCCCCATCACCTTCAGCAACTTGTCAACTTCGTCGCTCGGCCCAGTGATCAGGAAGTCGTCTGCGCGCCTCCCTGCCTTCACCCTGTTGCTTGGCTTCATGAAGAGACGCCCGTCGTAGTGGCCTCTGGCCCTTTCCAGCTCCTTCATGGTGTTCGCGCTGTGATCCCCCCAAGCCTCCGGCGCTCCTTTGAGTCCTGGAAATGCACGCAGCGCCTCCCAAACATGTCCTTCAGGTACTCCTGCTTCTGATGGCGGCTCCAGGAAGATGCGGTCCTCGGTGAGCGGCGCCTGGTAGAAAGCACCAATGCAGTCGCCAAACGCCACCATGTGCTCGCGCAACTCCGCGTTGACCAGCATCGCCTTCAAGTGCAGAAGTGACGGGGCCGTGGCCGCGAAGTTCTCGTGCCCGTGCACCTGCTGCTCGGAGCCCCTCGTGGTCCACCGACTCTCCTTGCTGCCGTCCGCCTGGTAGGTGTCGACCCACTTCCCCGTCGGGATCTTAGACGTCGTGTCTTTGATCGGGATGACCTTTACGATGTGCTTGCCGTCTCCTGCGACATTCTCCAAGTGCTCCTTCTGTGCCTCCGTGAAGTCGCCGTCCCATGCGTGCGTCTCCTCATCCTCCACCCCTGGATGGTAGTGACCCTGGACTTCTCACCTTCACCTCCTTCTCCGCCTTCGTGTTCTCGCTTGGGGCTCCTCTCGCCGGCGGAATGCTGGCTGCGGCGGCGCCGCCCTCGGCGTTGACGGTCCCGCCTCCTCGTCCCTGGGCCTCTTCGTCTCCAACGGCCTCTTGTCCATGCCCACGTCGTCGTACGGTGCTGCCGCCGCTGCTGCTGCTGCTGGCTGCGGTGGCGCTGGCTGTGGCCCTCCTCCTGCTGCGCCCGCTCCAGCTGCGGCTGCGGCTGCCGCATTCGGGCCCAAATGCCTCGGCGACGGCCCGGGCAGGATCGGTTCCTTTAGTGACCTCTGCGTTAGCGGCCCCCCCCTCGCGGAGGGCGCCGGCCCCCAGGGTGTCCACCTCATCTTGTCGAACAGCTCCTTGCCCCAGCGTCGGCTCTCCAGCTTCCTCATCACCCCCCTCGACCTGCGCGCTCCAGTCGGTGTTCCGATCACGTGCTCGTCCGTCCTCGCGTCGCGTTCTAGCCAGATGCCCTCCAGCCTGTTGACCTGGGCTCCTGGCCGCCTGCAGAGCACCGTTTCGCCGACTGCTACGATGGGCTTCTGTTGCTTGAGTATGTGGGTCTTCTCGTAGGGCGCGAGGTTGGTGCTCCCCCATAACCATGCGCCTGTTGTGGAGCCACGCTGCATGCCTCGGCAATCACGTGAGGAACGGGGGGTCGGGCTTGCGGTTGTGGTTCGGCTTCTTGTTGACCTACAGCGTCAACGTCCTCACCTGCTTCCTCGCCGTCTGGATGGCTCTCTCGGCCCTGCCGTTCGCCTGGCTGTTGCGCCTCTCCGACTGCCGCATGAGGATCGCCTCGCAGGTGCCCTCATTGATCGCCCTGGCCCTGACTGCCATGATGAACGAGAACTCATCTGCTCCTCCTGCTTGCAGTTCCACTCGTGAGTGTCCAAAATCGGCTAGCCACGAAACCGCCGAGGCCGCGGTGTAGACATCGTCGCGACCCTTCTGGATGATGGCCGCGCTCCAGATGCCCCCTGTCGAAGCGTCGCTGCCTACCACGAACTCGAAGTTGACGGGATCCCACTCGATGCCTGCCTTGCCGCAGTCGGAGCTCAGCAGTGGGATCAGCTCGTCGCGCCTGTCCTTCTTCTTGTGGGCTATGTCGTTGGCCTTCGCTCGAACGCAGATCTCACACCACGTTTCAGCCGGGTAGTGCGTCAGCCCAGCACTCCAGTGCGTAGCGGTTGTTGATCTTCGTAAGCTTGACCAGTCCTGCCGTCTCGTGCCTCAGCAGTCCTCCCTTGCCGCCGTACCAAGCCACGCGTTTCTCCATCTTGCTGCAGAGCGTGCCCACGCTCATGATGGGCTGCTTCGCGTCGGTGACCTGGAACTCCATGATGATGCGTCTGTTGCGGGCTATGTAGAGCATCACCGTATTCAATCCGCAGTGCCTCAGTGGCGCGCCGTGGCGACCGTCAGGTCTGGGTTGCGTCCTGGTTTGAGCTCTACGTTCGGGAAGTCCCCGATGCCGTGCGCGTGCTCATCTGCGCAGCTGCCCGTCAACATCCAGAACGAGCGCCGCATGCCGTCCGTCATCATACTGTAGACCTTCGTCTCCTGCGCCTCTGGCTTCTTGTGCCTCGTAACTGCGAAGATGAAACCGCCTCCCCACTCTGACGCGTGCTCGTCTGTCGCGGTGATCGCTCGAACTCCTGCTCCCACCTGGCTGGCTGAAGGTCCTGCTGTAGATGGTGCTGGACTTCCTGGTGGTGGTGTGCTGATGTTGCTCCACATCGTGATCTCGTTGACTCCTCCTTTCTGTCCTTCCTCGACCTTCTGCTTACCCTTGTCGCAGTTAGGGCTCTCCTGTCGATGCCAGCATACCCTCGTACAGTGTCCCCTCTGGCCACAGTTGTAGCAAAGCCTCGCCCTAGGTACTCCTGTCATACTCCAAGCTGGCTGTCGTGCCGCTGCTGTCCTCGCCATGGGATCCGCGCCCTTGCCCTTCTGGTATTTGCTCCAGTTCTTGCCTTCGCCGTCTGTACCTTGACCTTGGTCGTCCCTGCCCTTGCCTTTGGGATGCTGTCGCGCCAGCGCGTCAACCTCCAGGCTCCTGAGGCTCGACCTCCTTTACCGCCTTCTGCTCCTGGTCCTGTTGGGCTTGGCCACGTCTGCTGGTACCCGTCCTCGTTCACCTTCGCCGCCTGCAAGTGTTGTATCGTGGTGCTGATCAACTCGTCGTAGCTCGTCTCGCTCTGCATCTGCAGTACCGCCCTGATGTTCTTAGGCGGCCTCTGCAGGTAGATGCTCTTCTTGACTCCTGCGTTGAACACCTCTCCTGATGCCGTCTCGTAGCGCCTGATGTCGCGCTCCCAGTCTGCGTGGTACTGCTCGAACCCCGCCAAATCCGAAGGGAAAGGCTTCACGTTGAGAGTATCCATCGTGATGCTCTGCGCCCTCATGGCCGTCGCCTGCTCGTAGCGCTTGACCAAGGCACGCCACGCTAGCGCCCCGTTCTGGTCCTCCACACTCCTGATCAGCATCTGCGCGCTGCCCTTCACTATCATGACCAGCGCGAAGAACATTTTCTTCGTTGCCGAAATTCCCTCGGCTCCCAAACGATGTAAGGTCTCCGCCATGCTGATGTCTGGATCTCCACGGTGCTCGGCCGCCTCCAGAAGATTCAACGCCTGAGCCGTGTGGCCGCCCATGTAGGCCCTCATCACAAAGCTCCACTCCGTCCAGTGCTCCTCCTGGCCGTCGAACGTTGGCGGCTTCAGCCCCGAGCCCTGCCACTCAGCACTGGGCTCTGTCATTGTCACGTAGACCTCGTCCTGCACTCTGGTGGTCACGGAAACCTCGTCCTGATGTCTGGTGGTCACGTAGACTTCGTCCTGCTCTCCAGTGGTCACGTAGACTTCGGTTTGCTCTCCTGTGGTCACGTAGACCTCGTCTTGCACTCCTGTGGTCTCGTAGACCCCGTTTTGCACTCCTGTGGTCACGTAGACGTCGTCCAGCTGCTCGGCCAGCTGGTTGCCGTGGATCGTTTGCCCTGGCTGGCCGGATGCGGCCGCGAGGGCAATGGCCAGCGCCCTCAGCCGCGGGAGGCAGCGGGAACTGGCCGTGGCCAGCTCCGCTACCATGATAACTTTTGTGCCAAAGGGGCTGCGGAAAAGGTGGCGTATCAGGCTCTCGTTTATACGTGTTTAAACCCGTTCTATCTACGGTTTCCCTCAACAAATGCGGGATCCCCGGAAGGGCCGACCCATTCCCCAGGACCAGTTTGTCATCCTGGGTCGTTTTTGACGGTCCCGCGGCCTGGTGAGGGCCCCCCGAAGCCGAAAACGGAGAAAAACCTCCGTCGTGTTTTTTCCATCTTTGGGTCGATGGGTCTGGAGTGCTATTCTCTGGCACTCTGGACGGTCAGGGGGAGCCCCCGAGCCCTCCGAAAAAAAACTCGCCCCCTCAGCCCTTCCCCGCTGTGGGCGCGCCGCGGGCCTGCCGAGGCCGCCGCGGGTGCGGCGGGGGCGCCCCGGAGGAGGGCTGCGCGCATCTGCAGCTGGTGGCCGAAGAGGAAGAAGCGGCACGAGCATGAGCATCGGGCCGGGCGAAAGGGGGGGATAACAAACGGGGGGGTCTGAGAATCAGCTCACGTAGCTGATTTCCCCAGCGCCTCCCGGCACCGGGAGGCGCCCATGCATCGAGGAACGGGCCCAGCGGCGGGGCCGAAGCCAGCTGCATGCAGCAGATTTCGTATCTCCCCCTTTCCCAATCTCCCCCTTGCGTCCGGCCCGACAATCGGGGTCCCCTGAGATCCTAGCGATCCATTTTGTCCGAGCCGGGCGCTTTCGCTCCACTTCGGGCCCTGGGATCCTCACAGATTGAGCCGGCTGGAAACCTGACGCAGAAAGACGGGTTCCGGGGGTCGTGTCGTGATTCTACGCGATGCATCCTGTATTTTTGTCGGCAACGTCTGATCTCAGGGTCCGCGCGGACTTCTTCGATCGGCGCTGGGCCCCCTTGCGGCGCCTCCAGCGCTGCCCCTTGCGCGCTCTGCGCGCCAGGAAGGGGTTCCCCCGCCCCGCCGATCGACGAAGTCCTCGCGGATCTCCAGAAGTTCATGTTTGTGCTGTTTCTTGTTCTTCGATGATGGCCGTCTCCCAGGAGGTCCGCGGAAGCATCGTCTCCCTCCGCGTCTGCGTGGTCGCCAGCCGACGTCCTCGCCTCCAGGGAGGAGTTGAGCGCCTGGAGGGCTCTGAGCAGGAAGTGCTGTCCACGCACCTCGCGCGCGCGCGGGCACTCCTGCGCTGCGGCCTCAGACGGCACGTACTGCAAGAGGAGGTGCATCTTCCCCGTCTCGTCCACCGGCGTGTTTGTGGGGCCGTGGGCGCTGTCAATCTCGTCGATAGCGTACCACACGCTCCAGACCTCCAACGGCGCCAGCGTGGCTGTCGGGACCACCACCCGGCCGGCGCAGCGGCGCTCGGGGTCGAACGCCTGGATCTGGACCATGGCCTCGTGGTGCCCGCCGGTGGACAGGGCCACGTTGTCGCCGCGCAGCGTGGAGGGCACGGGGCACCGCACCTTTCCAGACAGAAGCGGAAGCTGAACAAAGCACAAGCTATCGGAATTCTGCGCGGATCTCTTGGATGGCTCTGGACCTCCCTCCCTGGCGCGCTGATCGCGTCAGGGGCCACGCCAGAGGCGCCGCCAGGGGGGGCCGGCGCCGATCTCCAAGAAGGCCGCGCGGATCTCCCAAAACTTCAGTCGGGCCTGTCACCCCCCAAAAAAATCCAAAAATAATCCAAACATAGTCTGGATTGTTTTTGAATATGAGTTGACCTTGTTTGTGTATTTTCTATATTTTTTACTTGTTCGTCGAACATCCCTCTGTAGGGGGACAGGCCCGACCTAACCCCGAACCTACGGATGCGGCACTCCGCGCGTGCGGAAAAAGCTGCGGGAGAGCACGAGCCGCACCGTCGAGCCTGCAGCTCGACTCCGCCGATCCGGGACGCCGAGCTCTTCAGAGCAACGGCCTGAGCTTCAGCTCTGCCGAGGAGCTTTCTGGAGTGGCCCCGTCAGGAAGATCCCCTTACAGGGGGACGAGGGGGGGGGGGGGGGAGTTGCCCTGAGATCCGCTTCAGCTCTGACGAGGAGCTTTCTGGAGTGGCCCTGTCAGGAAGATCCCCTTTCAGAGGGGGCGAGGGGGGTGGGGAGTTGCCCCGAAATCCGACGTCGCAGAGACTCGCAGCATCCCCAAAAGAAGACCCCGGGGCCCCAGCTTTCTGCATCCTTTTCGGCGTCGGATCGATCCGTGGGGCCCGCCGTGGAGCGAAGACGCCCGCGGCTCGACAGACACCGAGTCGCTAAGACTCGCGAGCCGCCGCCGCGGTCTCGACCTGACCTCGTCCGATGCCCGCCCGCCGGCCGTGTGCTGCGAGGCCGACGCGCTCGGCGGGCAGCCCGAGGGGCCGGGGGCAAAGAGCATCGCTTCACCGATCCCCATCCCCACTCGCGTGGCCTGGGCCCCACTGGCCGTTGTGCCCCCATGGATGGGGATATGGGCAGTTGCTGTCAGATTTCGAGGGCTACGTCCCCAACTGGGGGGATGAGGTGGTGGGGGTCTGGATGGGGATGGGCATGGGGATGGGGATCGGTTAAACGATACTGAGACAAGGCCGGGGCCAGGGGCCGGAGCTGGGGCCAGAGCCAGGGCTAGGGCCGGAGCTCCCAAGCCCAACGACCCACCAACAAACTAACCCGTCTGGGAACTTAACCGAGCTCGACACACGGACACGACGCAAGCATTCCATTCAACGCACCTTACTGCCTAAGGCGACTCGCAACACCCTCATTTCCCTCCTCCTCCTCCTCCTCCTCCTTTCCCCCCCCTCCTCCTTCTCCTCCTCCTTCTCCTCCTCCTCTCCTCCTCCTCCTCCTCCTCCTCCTCCTCCTCCTCCTCCCCCTCCTCTTCCTCCTCCTCGTCCTCCTCTTCCTCCTCCTCCTCCTCCTCCTCCTCCTCCTCCTCCTCCTCCTCCTCCCTCCTGCCTCCTCAAGGTAGAGTTAATCTCACAAGCTGTCAAGCAGGACGACGAGCTCGCACGGAGCGTTCCCGAGCTTCCCGGATCGGCGGCACAGGTCGAAGGCCTCGACTATACGAAGGTATCAGGTGAGAGCGTTGCAGCGAATCGTAGGAAAGCGCAAGCCAGTCCCGCCCGCAATGCAGAAACTTACCGAACATTACAAAAATCAATCGATCATGAGTGGGGGGGATGAAGCCAAATCGGATCAAAATCGGGTCCTGGGATCCATCTGGTGGAGATTTTCACCCCAGATCCGTTGTCGACTTGCCCGCGCAGTCCTGCGGCTCCGAAATCTGACGGTGAACGCGGTCCGGGGGCCCGGCAGCGGGCCCCCGGACGAAAATGGCCGAAAACCGTGCCGAAGCTCGAAGCTCGAACCTGCCACCCCCTTCCTGCTCGCCGGAACCAATGCTGAGCCACCTCGTACCCCCAGCCGGCTCCAACGTTCGCCCGTCTTCGGTTTGAACCTTGGCGCCGCCGACGGCCACCTCGCAGGAGAGCTCTGCCCCGGGGGCGCAGCCGGGCACCAGCACCTCGAGCACGTGCGCGAGGACATAGCCCTTGTCGCCCATCGGCGCCCCGCCCAACGCGAGCGGGGGCGGCCAGGACGTGTGGGGGGGACCCAGCCCAGACATCCCTGACCTTCCAGGAGGGCTCAAGAAGAGCACCAGGACCTTGATACCCAAATTCCAATCGGGGTCAAAGCAGTCCAGCTAGCTCTGTAGGTCTAGAGTGTTAGCTTTAGATCGGGCATGTCCCCCTACAGGCGGATTTTGGAGGACAAATTTGGGAGCACTCCTCCTGCAAAAGGACAGGCCCGACCTAATGTTATTTTTTAGCACCCTGGAAGGTCAGGGATGCTGGCGCCGTGACAGCAAAACGGCGGAGAGTTTGGGCCGTCTTTTCGGCCTCTGGGGAGCCTTGCGTGCCGGGCCCCGAGCGGCTCGGGATGAAACACACTCGCCCCGGGGAACGGGTTGGGACTCCTGGGCACTCTACAAAAAGTCAAGACTTAGGTCGGGCATGTCCCCCTACAGGCGGATTTTTGACGACAAATAAAACATAGATGGAACAAACATTGGGAAACTATGTCATTACTCACTTCGTGGAGCTCCCCATATGTGCATCTCATGTTTTATCTAATGCCGTAGTGAGCGTCTGTTCATGAGCATTTGACTATAATAGCCCGTCCACGTTGGCGACAGGCCCGACGAAGATCTCCTCCACCTCCACCTCTTACTCTTACTCCTCCTCCTCCTCCTCCTCCTCCTCCTCCTCCTCCTCCTCCTCCTCCTCCTCCTCCTCCTCCTCCTCCTCCTCCTCCTCCTCCTCTTATCCTTATTCCTTATGAGAATATACTCCTACTCCCCCCTCAGGCCGGCCATTAGGGGCCGCATCCGGGGAGTCCCATCCTAACTTGTAAAAAACAATACAAAATCAACCTTTTTCTTATTTTTTCCTCTCGACATGGACGTCCTGTCGTCCACGGCGATAATCCATTGCAAAAAATACCACAAAGAGCACACTCGCGCGTTCATGTCAGAATCCTACCGAACACCGTGTGTTTGCAAGCATTTCAACATAAAAACATCAAAAACCCAATGCTTTTTCACAAAAATTGTACAAATTTCCCGCCCGGGCTCTCTTGCTGAAATCATAGGAAAACCATAGGAATCTTAAGAATTCGGTCAAATCCAGCGATTTCACGTCATCGCGCGGTGCACTCGCGATGCTCTGTCATGCACCCAGGCCGCGAATCCTGTGCAAAAAATACCACAAAGAGCACACTCGCGCGTTCATGTCAGAATCCTACCGAACACCGTGTGTTTGCAAGCATTTCAACATAAAAACATCAAAAACCCAATGCTTTTTCACAAAAATGCTTTGGGGTGTCCTGTCAGACCGTCGGGCTTCCTCCGGCCACCTCTGGCTTCCTGCGGTGTACCGGGCCATTCTCGA